CTCTGCAAAAGATGGATTTTTGTCACTTTCTGTGAACTAAAGCAATTCAATGTCTCTTCTGAATTGTTTCTGCACTTTATGAACACAAGTTGAATCACTCAAACCTGAAAAACAGTCTGAAACTGGTATCCATCAAAACTTGGTTGATGAGCAAACCCATTCCAGGTTGCCTCCATCCACTAGACACAGTGTAGTGATGTGTTCTACCAACGTTTCTCATTATGAATTCCAAGTGGAAATAGGAAGAGGATTTGATGACTTCTGTCCATCTTGCATTGCACACTCCTACAGGAACACTGGTGACTATAAAAATTACAAATCTGGAAAACTGCACTGAAGAATGCCTGAAAGCTTTACATAAAGTTGTACTTCTACCCCACTTTTCTGGCACCCCAACATTACAACTTATTGGACCATTTTCACTGTTGGCAGTTGGCTCTGGGTTACTTCTCAATTTATGGCCTACGGTTCACCAAGTTGACTATGGAAGACTTACTTTCCTGAAAAATGAGTCAAACTTTTAATAAGAAACATTCTCTTTGGTGCAGTGAGAGGGTTGAACTGTCTGCACCAAAATGGCTGCATTCACAGGAATTTGAAAGCCAACCATATCCTCATTTCTGGTGATGGCCTAGTGACTCTTTCTGGCCTGTCCCATGTGCATATTTTGGTTAAGCATGGACAAAGGCTTAGGGCTGAGTATGACTCCCCACAGTTCGGCACATCAGTGCAACTGTGGCTGAGTCCAGAGCTGCTGAGACATGATTTACATGGATGTAATGTAAAGTCAGATACTTACTCTGTTGGGATTACAGCATGTGAATTGGCCAGTGGGCAGGTACCTTTCCAGGACATGCATAGTGCTCAGATGCTGTTACAGAAACTGAAAGGTCCTCCTTATAGTCCACTGGATATCATTATTTTCCCTCAGTCAGAACCCAGAATGATAAATTCTTGATCAGGTATAGATTCTGGGATTGCAGAAAATGTGCTTGTCTCCAGTGGAACTCACAGAGTAAATGGTGACAGATTGCAAACACCATCCTCAAAAACTTTCTCGCCTGTCTTTTTAGTGTGGTACATACAGCTCTGTTTGCAACAAGATCCTGAGAAAAGGCCATCAGCAAGCAGTTTATTGTCCCATGTTTTCTTCAAAAGATGAAAGAAGAGAGCAAGGATTCCATACCTTCACTGTTGCCTCCTGCTTATCACAAGCCATCAATAGCAATGCCTCCAGCATCACCTTGGACTGAGCCAGAATGTGATTTTCCTGATGAAAAAGACTCAAATTGGAAATTCTAGGGCTGCCAAATCCTTTTATGTCCTATGTACTTGACACTTCTCCCTGCTGCTTTGCTTCTGTATTGCTAGGTACAAAAACTACAATTATACTTGAAAATACAGTTGGTGCACTGGAGAATCTATCATTTAAAACCACTCTATTCAAAGGAGCATGAGTCTGTATCCCCTTTAATAGCTCAGAATGCTATTACAACTCTAGGAAAACTTTAGAATTATTAACCCAGCTACATATAGGGTCACCTATTCTCAAATTTTTGCCCCCAAAGTTGTGACTAACTCTTCTTTTCATACTCTCAATATAGCTTTTGAGTCAGTTAATTCTTTCAGTATTTTGCTGCCCTCAGGGGAATGAGACGTCAAAGGACAGTGCTTCCAGGTACATTTTTTCCTCCCAGATTCTCTACCGTTTTTGATCAGCTATTGTTAGACCAGCAGGCTAGTTTACCCTGGCATCAAACTCTTCTGGTAACAGGGGGAATGTTTATACTTTCCCATTTTCTTCTTATAATTACCAAACCGAGCCTCACTCACATTAAATGATTCACTTGAAATATATAGAGAAGTTGTGGTTTGCTTTTTTTTTTTTTTTAAAGGGGCTAAAGTCATGCACCCCGTGGGAGCTCAATAAAGATTTACTGAATTGAAAAAAATTAAATGAATTTTTGAATCCTCACACAGAAGTGGGAAAACTTGAGGTTCTACATTCTGTCAATGCATCAGTCAGTGCATCACGGGTTTTCCTTGAAAGGATGTGCTCTATGCTGCTTGAAAGCAAAGAATGGAGACTGGTGAGAGAATATGAAAAACTAAGTATTGGATATATAGGCTTGGTGTCCATGCAGCAAGTTATGAGGCTGCTGTTAGGGTAACCAGAAATCAGGCACAAGAAAGAAAAGAAATACCAAAAATGAGAGGAAGCTCTGCAGCTAGGGTGATCCTTTGCAGTTCGTGGGAACCGGGAATGTCCACAGTTATGACTTGTAAGACAAAGGTAAATGATATGAGAGAAATGGAAATTTAGGATTTGAAGTATGTAATATGTGCAGCTACAAGTTTTATAAAATCAGTCCTTTGGTAGAAAACAGTGGTGAGTACCATGTTGCAACACGACTGTATAAACTTACTTTGGCTTAATATGGCATCTAGAGATATGGCTGCTGCTTTCTGAGGGAAAACTCGAAAGAGCTTTCCTTTTGAGCATATTTAGAAGAGAGACTCATGAGCAAATAGATTCAGCTAGTTGTTTACCTGGAATTCAATTATTATTAAAACTCCCAGCCCCTTCCTTTTTATTGCCAAGAAGCCAAAATATATGTTGACTTAAGAATGTCTAACCCTGTAGAGAATTTTAAAAAGACTTTATTTAAGACTTCTGGCCAAGAAAGAGGCATAGGTAGATAAGCTTTGCTTCCTTGCACAACCACAGGAAGGACAACAAATTTAAAAAGAAAAAAATCTTAATTGCCAGAAAACCAAACTGTATGGAAATCCAACAACCAAGGACTTAAAGAAAAAACATTCATCCAGACCAGTAGGAGGGGCAGAAACAGGAAGCCAGGGAAGAGAGGACACACGACAGGCAGAGAGACTGGCGGACCAGGCAGTCCCATATTCACGAGCAGAGAAACTGGGAGGAACAACTGGGGAGCAACACAGACTGCGCAACCCTGAGTTTCAGCACAAGAAAAGAAAGCTTCAAAACCACTGGCTATAAAAACTTGTGGTTTTTGCAGCAGCAGAAGAAACTCCCAGTCTCACAGGAGAGTCCATTGGAGGGACCCACAGGATCCCAGAACATACACAAACCCACCGACCTAGGAAATCAGCACCAGAAGGGCCCAATCTGCTTGTGGGTAGTGGGGGAAGTGACTGAAAGTGCAGTGAGAGCTGAGCAAGCAGCATTGTTCTCTCTCTAACCCGTCTCCCACATACAGCGCCACAGTGTAGCCAAGTGGGTTGCCGCGCCCTGGTGAATACCTAAGGCTCCACCCCTTACAAATAACAGGTGCACCAAGACAAAGAAATGTAGCCCAAATGGAAGGTCAAAACTCCAGGAAAAGAACTAAGTGACAAGGAGATAGCCAACCTATCAGATGCAGAGTTCAAAACACTGGTAATCAGGATGCTCAAGAAATGATTGAGTATGGCCACAAAATAAAGGAAGAAGTGAAGGCTATACAAAGTGAAATAAAGAAAAATATACAGGGAAACAGTAAAGGGAAGGAAACCAGGACTCAAATCAACGATTTGGAACATGAGGAAGAAATAAACATTCAACTGGAACAGAATGAAGAAACAAGAATTCAAAAAATGAGGAGGCTTAGGAACCTCTGGGACAACTTGAAACATTCCAACATCTTAATCAAGGGTGCCAGAAGGAGAAGAGGAAGAGCAAGAAATTGAAAACTTATTTGAAAAAATAATGAAGGAGAAATTCCCCAATTTGGTTAAGGAAATAGACTTTCAGGAGATCCAGGAAGCTCAGAGTCTGAAAGAATTTGGACCCAAGGAAGCACCCACCAAGACATGCAATAATTACATTACCCAAGATTAAAGATAAGGAGAGGATCTTAAAAGGAGCAACAGAAAAGGAGAGAGTTACTTATAACAAAGTTCTCATAAGACTATGAGCTGATTTCTCAAAAGAAACCTTATAGGCACGAAAGAGCAGGAAAGAAGTATTCAAAGTCTTGAAAGGCAAGGACCTACATCCAAGATTACTCTATACAGCAAAGCTATCATTTAGAATGGAAGGGCAGATCAAGTGCTTTCCAGATAAAGTCAAGTTAAAGGAGTTCCTCATCACCAAGCCCTTATTATGATATGAAATGTTAAAGGGACTTATCTAAGAAGAAGGAGATCAAAACTATGAACAGTAAAATAATAACAAAGTCACAACTATCAACAACTGAAACTAAAAAACAAAAACAAACTAAGCAAACTAGAACAGGAACAGAATCACAGTAATGGACATCTCAGGGAGGGTTATCAGCAGGGTGGGAGTAGAATGGGGAATAAGAAGCATAAATGGCAGGTACAAAACAACACAGGGGGAGGATAGGAATAGTGTAGGCAATGGAGAAGCCAAAGAACTTATATGTATGACCCATGGATATGAAGTGAGGGAGGGGATTGCTGGAGGAAGGGGAGGTGTTGTACAAGGTGGAGGGGGAAAAGGGGAGAAAGAAAAATGGGATAAATGTAATAGCATAATCAATAAAATATACTTAAAACAATTTATTTGAGCCAAAACTGACCAATGCTGAGAAGCAATAGCTTAAATGGTCCCATGAATTACTGTGAGGGACCCTGCACCCTTCCCTCAGAGAGTAATGTTATAATATAAATGTTCTACAGAGAAACTCCATAAATGAAAGGACCAGAGATCACACTAAGGACAGGAACAGAGAGCCTACACTTTTGTGTTTTTCCTAAAAATACCTGCATTTCAGGAAAATATTCATAAAAAATGCATTCATTATTACGTGGGTTCCCTTTTGTTACCAAAGACCATCAGAAATTTCAGAGCACTGAATGTTGGCAACAAGCACCAAAGCAGGAGGTACCTCTTTCTGGAGGAAAGAAACCAGCCATCACTAAGTAAGAGTGATGCTCCCTAACACAGGCCCTGAAGTACAGAAGGAGCTATTGCCAGCAGATGCCAGAGCATGGTGGTTGGCCCAACCTTTCCTACTTACATGGAACAATGGAAAGTGCCAACAGGGTTCTCACGACGAATGTCTTCATATTCCTCATATATCCCCTGCTTTTGCCTGGTGCTAACATAATTCATCAACTCTTGTATGGTCATGGCATGGGGACCTGGAACATGCACTGAGTCCCAGTCTAAAGCAGGAGGGAGGGAGAGCAGGATGATCTCATCGAAGGGATCCGGGTGGCCATTCATCTGGGGTAAGAACTGGAAATTCCAAGTGGCGAGGTCCAGTTTGACGTACCCACCCAGGTTTTCTGGAAGGCACTCTCTGGGCAGGTGCTGGGTAACCTCAGAGGTCTTCAATATCTGAATCTGGAAGGCCAGAAATAACCAAGTGAGCATGTGGGGCGGCGGGGGGGGGGGGAGACAGAGAAGATAAAGAACAGATGTGCTTCGGAGATGTAAAGTACAGCACAGGGAATGTAGTCAATACTATTGTAATAGTTTTGTATGATGTCAGATGGGTACTTGAAATATCAGGGTTGGAGTGGGATCGCACTGTAAATTATGATTGTCTAACCACTATGATGTACACCTGAAACTAATATAAAATAATATTAGGTTTGGAGAATGGGATGAGATTGGCCTGAAATACTTGATATAGTTTTCAAAGTAGACAGTACTTCATCTGCCTGGGGTTGAAGTTCTATAAATTCCCCAGACAATTACTATAATGTATATCAAATTCACTCCTGGAATTAGGGGCTCTGTTATATACCTTCTGAAAGGAAGGTATAGTGAACAAAGGTGTTATTTTATACTATTTACATCTGATGCAGGTATTCACCTTTTGACTACAAATAATACATAGGTAGTGGTTATTTTTGTCAACTTAAAACTAGACCTACTAGCTTTTGCTTTACTTACAGATCGGTATAGATGTTTTCAAAGATAAGTTTCTATGAAAGTCAGACAACACCAGCCACCAAATGGAAAGTAGTCCAGGAAAAATTCTAGAAAAGTCATAGTAATACCTAATTCTGCTCTCTGCTGGAACATAGCCATACTGAACCATATTAGCCTAGTTCGTTGTTCCCTAAATCGATGTGGAATGAAGGTGTTGATCTCTCTTGCTGCTGCCTCTTCCTGAAATGTCCTCTTTCCTTCCTTGGCCTCTTTAAGGACAGCTTATAGCACATGAAGCCCCTCTGCCCAGGCAATGTTCTCCTCCGTGCGCCTGCGGAACCACAGTCCTCTGCACTTGTCTGTGTCCTCTCTCAGAACCATGAGCACCTCCAGGGTAAGGACTGTCTTGATCAACTTTTCATTCCTAGGGCCCAGAGCCTGGACTGTAAAGGTGCTCAATATATTTTGAGCTTATTCATGCATTTATGCTTGTATACATAAGTGTAAGAACTTGCCTAAGGAGTCTTCTCGAAGAGTTATGTGAGGAAAGAGCTCCCCTACTCTGAGTCACTAGGTCCCTAAGCAGTTCCATAAAACCAAACATCTTCAGTTCCCCCTCTCCAACTCAAGTTGCTGCAGCTATAAAAATCTTCCTTGTTATGATTCACATAGCCTCATAATCCTTTACTACAAAAATCTCTGATAATATTTCACAACTTTATTATCTTATCCTGTTGTCCAGTGTTTCAGATGTCCTTTCTTTCAAGTGTAGAAATGAATGAGTGAATGAGTAAAACCACAATCTTTCAGTCCTGGAACATTCAGGGGATGATCACAGAATTAAGAGGGTTTTAGATTAATGCTTCTGAAGTTAGGAAGCAACAAACTGTTTTAAAAGAAAATGCCAGGAATGTAAGTAGAGACACAGTGAGAAACTCTCCTCTGCCCCCAATGGTGGTCAAAGGACTGCCTGGTATTTCCAGTTGAACAAATTCAAACACCAGTTCAATTAATGCGATTATATTAGATGTTGTTAAATATTAAAGGCCTGTTATAGCACTAGGCTAAATTTTGGTAGTAGCTATCACTAAGATAACCATGGGATATATTCCTTCAGTACTATTTTTATGCAAAGTGCTATGATGGGGGTGTACTTAACATAAAGCCTGTCCAGTTCCTGACTTGAAGGAACTTGTAGTGCAGTGGGAGAGCAAGCCTGCACTGAGCTGAGAAAGAACAAAGCAGAGAATAGACATGAATGCACTGACAGAAGCAGAAAGTGCTCTAGACAAGACAGCAGGATGCTTTCTGAAGGAAGAAAATTAATTGGCAGGTTTTAACAGCAGGAATGGGAATCTATCTATCCACCTCCAAATAAAATAAAGCTAGCTTGCCTTACCCTCTCACGGACTTTGTCCTTCAGGAGGAGGCTGATAATGGAATAGGGCACTCGGAACCATATGGGGGCTCCCACAATCAGCACTTTCTTCAAACGAGCTGGAAATGCTCCCTGTGGAGAACACATACAAGGATTTCAAGATACCAGTCCGGGAACTGCAACAGAGCCTAATGGAACCTGTGACTCTTCAGGCCCAAAGTTTAGGTTATAGCACTTTCTCTCCATTCTTACCCCGCAGAGTGAGTCTGCAGCTTAATTCAGGTTTCACTTGAGTAGCTGAAGAAAAAGTGGTTTAAAAAAATTAAAAGCTGATTACCTTTAAAGGTAATGATGTTATGTTCTTGTAGGCATAAGCCTTATGGATCAAAAACTATTTCTGATGTTTTTTATCAGCGTACAATGGAGGACCACTCCCAAAAAAAATGATTTATAGAAAATTGTATGTTTATTCTTACATATGTAAACTTCAGTCACATTCAAAGTACTCTCCATTTGATGCAATACAAATATAGAAACATTTGTTTTTTCCACTGCTCAAAATACTTCTTATATGTGGCGATTTTGATGGCTTTTAGTGCTTCTGCCTTTTTTTTTTTTTTTCGGTTTCACCTCTTCCACATCTGCAAAATGTTTCCCTTTGAGGATTTTTTTATTGGGGAAACAAAAAATGTCAAAAGTTGCTAGGAGTGAGATCAGGGGTGAGAATATGGAGGGCAGGGCACAGGGGTCAAGCTATTTTTGGTCAAAAACTGCTGAACACTCAGCACAGTGTAGGCAGGTGTGCTTGTAAATCACCCATCACAAAATGGGCAAATGTAGTGGAAGGGTCTTCAACAAAAATTCACTGAAGCCAAATGGAACCTCTCACAACATAACAACAGCAGGTATACAGATACAGATGGGTTCCTACAACACCCACCTAATAGGGGGAGGTTTGTGCTAAAGGGTCCCACCTTCCAGAAGATAACCATTATTTGGGGGAGGGGCCTCTCTTACACGTGTGCATCCTTAAGTTGTGCTTATTAAAACTTTAAGGCAAAATTAGATCATGAATAAAGTGATTATGAAAGAAACACTTCTCTCATAATTTTTCTTTTATTCTGGTATCTGTATATTTATAATTTTTTTTACCCAACTCTTCATTTATTTATGTATTCATTTATTTAATCAATAAATATGATCTAGTAAGCCCAAGTGCAAATGAGGTCCAAAAAAAAGGAGATACCCTAATCTGCACAAGTCATAAGAACAAAAAACAATGACTTTGTAATCCACAGCTCTACGTTTCTTTTAGTTTCGCAGTATCTCAGCCCTTTTCATAGGCAGAGATATCAAGTAATATTGGCAATCCAACTGAGAAATTATTCCCAAGGAAATTTAAAAAAGAGAGAGAGGAAACTATAGCTAAATATCTTGAACCACTTTATCCCTCTTCTTTTCAACAAACTGAATCTCAATTTGACACGTCACTCTCTGAGTACTCTCCAGTTCTACTAATTTGGGGGTCTGCAAACATTCCCTATAGAGAATATACAGCATCCAGGACAAAATTCTCCAAAGGCCTCTTCACTGAAGTCTGAGAAATTACCTTTCATCTCTATTTTCCCTGAAAGATGCAACAGTTTATTTTCAGGGCCTAAATATAAATGGCCAAGGCCCCTTTAACAGCCATAACAAAAACCAGTCTCAAGAAACAGCTATATTTCCACAAAATGATAAATAGAAAGTAGAAGCCATTACCTCTGCTTTCAGGGCAAAGAGATATAGACTTAGACCTAGTTCTGTACAATGCTTTTTGGTACACACATATGCTGCTGATGTAACTCAGTAACACCTTCTAGAAGGCATCTGGCAGCATATATGACCTTAAAAATGTGTATCCTCTAATTGGGTAATTCCATTTCTGAAAATCTAGTCTAAGGAAATAATGAGAAACAAAAAGATTTATAAATAAAAATGTTTACTAAGTTTTTATTTCTTTTAATTATTTTTTTTAATCCTCACCCAAGAATATGTTTATTGATTTTTTGAGAGGAAGAAGTGAGAGAGAGAAACATCAATGTGAGAAAAAAACAGCCATTGATGCCCCCTTCCCCCAACATACCTCATCCAGGGAACATACCCATAACCTAAGTATATGCCCCAACTGGGAATCAGATCCACAACCTGCTTTCACATAGGATGATTCTCCAACCAACTGAGCCACCCGGCCAAGGCTACACTTTTATTTTTGACGTTAAAAATAGTACTTTAAAATTGTAAATAACATATGTCTGAAAATGGGTAATGGTTAACAAAAATGTCATATCTCTCAATAAGACTGTTACTTAAAATAAATACTTCAAAGATTTTTTTTAGGTTCTGGCCAAGATGGAGGCGTATGTAGATAGGCTTTGCTTACTCACACAACCAAAAGAAGGATGACAAGGAATTTAAAAACAAAAAACAACAAAACTACCAGAAAATTGAATTATATGGAAGTCCCACAACCAAGGACTCAAAGAAGAAGCATTCATCCAGAGACTGCTGCGGGGTAGGAGGGGCAGAGATGGGCAGCCCAGGCAGAGAGGACACGCAGCAAGGTGGTAGCTGGCACACCAGTTGGGTGAAGCGGTGTCCGGCAGACCGGCTGGTCCCACATTAGCATGCTGATAACCCTTGAGGAACAACTGGGGGCAACACAGGCCTCACAACCCAGGGTTCCAGTGTGGGAAACTAAAGACTCAAAACCTTGGTTGTAAAACCCTGTGGTGATAGTGGTAGCAGAATAAACTCCCAGCCTCACAGGAGAGTCTGTTGGATGGACCCACAGGGTCTTAGAACATGCACAAACCCACCCACCCAGGGAATCAGCACCAGAAGGGCCCAATCTGCTTGTGGGTAGCGGGAGAAGTAACTGAAAGTGAGAGCCAAGCAAGCAGCATTATTCCCTCTCCGACCCCTCCCCCCCACACACATAATGCCACAACACAGCCAAGTGGGTTGCCCCGCCCTGGTGAATACCTAAGGCTCCACCCCTTACAACATAACAGGTGCACTGAGACAAAGAAATGTGGCCCAAATGAAAGAACAGATCAAAACTTCAGGAAAATAACTAAATGACAAGGAGAGAGCCAACCTATCAGATGCAGAGTTCAAAACACTGGTAATCAGGATGCTCAAGAAATGGTTGAGTATGGCCACAAAATAAAGGAAGTGAAGGCTGTACAAAGTGAAATAAATAAAAATATACAGGGAAACAGTAAAGGGAAGGAAACCAGGACTCAAATCAACGATTTGGAACACGAGGAAGAAATAAACATTCAACTGGAACAGAATGAAGAAACAAGAAATCAAAAAAATGAGGAGGCTTAGGAACCTCTGGGACAACTTTAAATGTTCCAATACCCGAAACATAGGAAAGCCAGAAGAAGAGGAAGAGCAAGAAATTGAAAACTTATTTGAAAAAATAATGAAGGAAAAGTTCCCCCGCCTGGCAAAGGAAACAGACATGGAAATCCAGGAAGCTCAGAGAGTCCCAAAGATGTTGGATCCCAGGAAGAACAAACACATCAAGACAATCATAATTAAATTACCGGAGGTTAAAGATAAGGAAAGAATCTTAAAAGCAGCAAGAGAAAAGGAGAGTTACCTACAAAGGAGTTCCTATAATACTGTGAGATGATTTCTCAAAAGAAACCTTACAGGCAAGAAGGGGCTGGAAAGAAGTATTCCAAGAAAAATTTAAGTATATCAAAGAAAAAGAAGATCAAAACTATGCGGAGGGGGGTAGCAGGAAAAAAAACTATAAACAGTAATATTACAACAAACTCAACTATCAACTGAACCTAAAAGAACAAAAACAAAACAAACTAACCAAACAACTACAACAGGAACAGAATCACAAAAATGGAGACTGCATGGATGGTTATCAATGAGAAGCAGGAGGGAAGAGAATGGGGGAAAAGATACAGTGAATGAGAAGCATAATTAGTAAGTACAAAATAGACAGGGGAAGTTAAGAACAGTACAGAGAATGGAGAAGCCAAAGAACTTATATGTACCACCCATGGACATGAACTAAAGGTAGGGTATGCTGGAGTGATGGGGAGTTGCTGGGTGGAGGGGGATAAAGGAGAGAAAGAAAATGGGACAACTGTAATATTATAATCAATAAAATATACTAAGAAAAGATTTTTTTTAAAACTTTGAAAAATGCTCAGAATATAATCCTAAAGAAAACCAAAACTATAATCTTAATTTTGTTTAAAAAAAATTACACACACACACACACTTTCACAGAAAAAAGATTATAAAAAATTATATCAAACGGTAAGTAGTTTATCTCTTATAGGTGGGATCATGAGTAATTTTAATTCTATTTCATATATATATATGAAAATATAATCATATATATATGATTTTATTTATTTAGTTTTAGAGAAAAGGGAAGGGAGAGAGGGAAATATCAATGAGTGGTTGCCCTTCGAGCACCCTCTACTGGGAACCTGGCCTGCAACCAAGGCAAATGCCCAACTGGTAGTCGAACCAGTGACCCTTTGGTTCACAAGCTGGTGCTGAGTCCACTGAGCCACACCAGCCAGGAAAATGTTTAGATTCTTTATTCTAATAATCCTACTTCTAGAAATTCAATTCAAACAAATTACTTAATATGCAAACAAAATATGGATATAAAAATGTCTGTTAAAAATTGATTATAAAATATTTAAAAACCCAACAACCTAAAAATAGTTAAATAATTTGTAGTAAGTACAGGATAGACTAATATTCAGTAATTACAACTGTTCATAAAAAACGCTGATAGAGCTTATTGTATACAAAAATTAAACATATAATTTTTTGAAAAACTTTTAACAGTGTCATACACCAAAATGTAAACAGTGATTATTTCTGCATGATAGTACCAAAGGTAATATTTCTTCTTAATGCATATTGTTTTGAGTTGTCCAAAATTTTCTACAATGTATTTTTTTCTAAATATAATAGTATTTTAAACAGTAAAACATAAATATGAAAAAATAAGCCACCCTATAAACAATAATAAGTATAAAAGTATAATGGTAAACACCTGATTTACAACAGCAGTTTTGCACACACACACCATTCATACA